TGTGTGTGTGTGTGTGTGTGTGTGTGTGTGAGAGTGCATATACATATATGGTGTGGCAACCACTTTATATTTAGCTTTATTTTTATTTTTGTATTAGTAATTTTAATTCTTAAACTTATTTGATTTCTGTTAGTTGCCTAAACAATATTTCTCTTTTTCATTTATGTTTTTCAAAATTTAAAAGTTCAACATTTTCATGTATTATTAATATTTATGTGTATTTATATTTAATTTACTATCAAATAAAAAAGATGAAATTGTATTTTGCATTAACAAACTGATGCCTATTGTATTTTCGGGCCTTTATTTATATAAATAAATAACTTTTATTTTATTTTATTTTGGTTTGTTTTGTTTTTTATAAAATATGCATGCATATTTTACAAGCACATTTTCCCCTCATTACCACAATGTGATAGAAATCTCTTTCTCACATTGTCTGTGTTTCCAGACACAATGATATTTCTTAAAATGATTAAAATCAGCAAAGAAAGGTAATTCAACAAATACTAACATGATCTATGCTCACAATTATAGATCACAAAAATGTGACGTGAAGTGTGATGTTTTCAGCCTCTTTCTCAACTTCCTGACATTTGACTGATGTTAATCTTTATTACATAATTGCATCTTAAGAGGTTCAGTGTTGTCTATTACACGTTTATCTGCAGAAATCAAAAGCAGAACCAAAAACCGTGAGCCTGGCTCAGTTGGAAGGCGAGTTACAGGTAAAACTGTTGACTAATGATCCTGTTTCAAAAGCTACTTGTTTTCAAACAACTCAAAAAGCAATATATTTTTCTTTGGTTTTAAAATAAGGATGGGAGTTTCACAAGTTCTTCTGTTGCTGAGGCTGGCTCATATAGAACAACGGTAAGACATTCTCAGATATAATATATGGGGTATTTGGCAACAGCAATCGATTGAGGGTTTGTTGAGTAATGCACATAATTTCTTTGTTGGCAAAGGAACATGTGATTGCTACGACCTGGAGGGACGGGCCCTACCTGCTGGTAGTGCAGATCAATTCAAGCAAACAGGATGCCAACTGGAATTTAACCTGTAGGCCTAATTACCTACATTACGTAGATGTCTGAATATGTAGCTGTTTCTGTATGGCTGCATGATCTTATCTCATGCTATCTTATCTAAATTGTGTTTCAGTCAGTGTTGTGATGAAGGGAACCCACGGCTATCTCTCTGTCACCGAATGGCCTCTCATGATCGTAAGTAGTTTAGATGCTCATCGGCTTTGTCACTTGCTTATTAGTGTTCTATGATGGGTTTTTAAAGCGGGATTTGGAGCCTCTAAGGGCCTCAAAGGAGTGCTAGGGGGGTTGTGGAAAAGTTTGGAGAAAATGAAATCAAAATGAACAAGTATTGTTTTTTTTAAATATTGCATTTATAAATTTATTATGTATTTATTACATGTATTATATTCAATAATAAATGAGCAGTTAAATCCAACAGTCCAATCAATTCCTGATGGACAAAATTCTATTATAATATCTTTGCATGATTTCGTATGTGTGTCTCCCTCTCTTTTCTTCAGTTCTACATGGTCATGTGTGTGGTGTACATCCTGTACGCTCTGCTGTGGTTCGTCTGGGCGTCCTGCTACTGGAAAGACCTGCTGAGGATCCAGTTCTGGATTGCAGGAGTCATATTCTTGGGCATGATAGAGAAGGCCGTCTTCTGTGCTGAATATCAGAACACTAACAACATGGGCTCAGCATGTTAGTCAAAATACACTCTTTATTCCTCAGTTTCAACTGTTAAATTCTCCTACGATGGCCTAACTAATTTGGACATTTAAGTCACACGTAAAACTGTCTGAATGCCATTGCATAAGATAAAATAGTGTAATCTAGAATCTTTTTGTAATTTTAGTGCATAGACTGCATTTATTTGATCAAAAATACAATAAAACAGTAATAATATATATATATATGTTTTTATATTTCGAGTTTTCAGTTTAAAACACAAAGTGTCACAATACCTTTGTCTTAATTTTTAACACTAGATAGATGTATTATTTTATCATTTAATATGTAACCTTTCTTTAAAACCTTAAAATTGAATCTTTGATAAAAATGAATGACACCTGGATCAATATTTTGTTGTCTAATGCAGTGACATTCAGACATTTTAATTAGTCTGCATCAGGCATCACACTGGCGTTTACTGAAAATAGATCAATAGCTTTCCATA